GTGTGAATTTTCAAACTGATTTTATGTTTATAATTTTTTAAATGACATGCACAATCATAGTAAATATAACTTCGAATTTTAGACTTTTAACGATCAAAATTAATAATCGTATTACATTCCATAGTTTGTTCGTATATAATTGGAAAATAAATCATTAAGCTATAATTTCAATACACTGTAATGGAACCAAAATGAAATATTGTCTCTTTTATTCTGAAGTTATTAAAATAACAATTAAATATTACTTCTATTACTTAACTTAATTGAGCCCTTATAAGAGCAACTTGAGATTAAAAAAAAAATCATAAAGTTTCAGTAATTAATCTCTGCACATAAAGCACTCTTCATTACAAATCCATTCATGTTTATAAAAGCATGAAAATCTTAAAAGGATGCGAGTCATTAGCCTCTGATATAACAATTCATTTTTACCCTCATTCAAGGTTGAAACGGACCTTCAGCAATTAATTGAATGAGGTCTTTCCAGACAGGAAAAATCCCCTTAAGTTATCCAATCAGGAAGCAAGATTTGAGCACAGCACACCTGCAAAAATTGTTTGGGTCATTATCGGGCATTAGGTCATGGTCGAATCTACAGGAAGCGAGATTCCCGCCAAATTTTTGTTCTTTGTTTGTTTAGTTTCGTTCTTTTACCCACTGACCTAGCTTTGGATCTCCGTGTTGTAAATTAAAAGAAGGGCAAAAAATAAAGAATGCAAAAATCTAACAATAACATAAACACTTGCAATTCTTTAGATATGAACAATATTTTTTTTTTTGTTCTAAGAATTGATTTTATGTTCTTAAGAATCAAAAGGAACAGAAAAAAAAATCGGAACAGTAAGATCGACAATAGAATAAAATGGATTATTCGTGTTCGTTACGAGTCATTAAAGTTTGGTAGAAAAAAAAAAGTTATGTTTAATTTTGTTTGCTTTTTGTATGGGGAAAAAAGGTTTTGTCGATTTTGCTATGGTTTCAGTTTTCTCCATGGGTTTTCGGTCAAGCGTGAAAATGTTCTCTTGCGATTTCTAAAATCGAGAAATCAATGATTTAGAAAACATCATTTTTGTGCTTCAGTGAACTATTTAAGTGACTAGACTTAGAAGAATCACATATTTCTTTGAAGAAGCATAGTTGGAAGATAGCCTTTTATTACGTATTTTTTCTTGAATAAGCTATCTATATATATTCTATTATATATATATATATATATATATATATATATATATATATATATATATATATATATATATATATATATATATATATATATACATATATGTAGATAGATAGATAAAAGGAATCTATATTTCTATATATAATAGAAAATTTAAAAATTAACCTTATGTTTAAAGTTAATCACGCCATTTTGAAAAAGAGATGCATAGATTTGAACAACTATTTAATATTTATAAAAAAATGATGCTCTTACTTAAAAATTTGTAAAATAAATGTACTAAAATGAACATATTTATTGCAATAAATTTAATCTAAATACAAAAATATTTATCTGGCTTTTTTATGAACTAAAATTCTTTTGAATCTATTTGTGAAATGCATTGACAAGCTATGTTTGACAAGCTACTGTATTGACAAGCTACTACTATATTTTAGGGGTTATTATTTTTTTTTAATGTACATATACATAACTTTTTGGTAGAAATATTGTTTTCAGAAACTAAACATATAAAATAATAAGTGACTTTTTAAACTTTTATTTTATCTCATTTATTTTATAGTTTTTAGTAAGCATTGATTTTAAGTATTGTTACTTTTTTTCTACACTGAGGCTTTGCTCAAAAAACATTATATTCAAGATAAATAATTACAGGACAATTTCTACATTTTGTTTCATTATGAAGGCTTCCTTTTCAATATTTATTTACACGTAACAAAAATACTGTTTTAAATTTTAAATGATATAAATGTAAAAGAATCTCATAAAAATTATTTCTCATTTAAATTAATGTATCTTACATTAATTAGCAATTGAATATAATATGGGATTTGGATAAAAACGTTAAATTTTCAACATATCAACATTAACGTTTTTTACTTACAATTTAACCTCCCTTAGCTCATTTGATAAATTTATTAATCACTTGCTTTTTACTATGGGAAAATTAATCTTAATTTTCGAATATATCTCTTTCTATTTCTGGTTTTAACGTCATGATACTCTTAAAAGTACCATTTATTTGTATATGTTAGCAACAATATTAATTTAAAATATAAAAATGTTTTCATTTATTTAATTTAATTATTGCTTAAAAATTCAATTTTTATTACAATTAAGAAGTGATTTGACTCAGCAAAAATTAATAAATAAAAAAAATATGTTCGTTCTAGTGATTTTGTAGAGGAAAGTTATTTTATAAAATCAAAAATTCGCCAAAACGAATTTCGCCAATGTCTAAAAACTAATTAGGCCTCGGCGACTTAAAAATTGTGAATTCTGTAAAGATTTTTTCCAATGGTACTCGCAATTTCAGAATCGTTGAGATCATTATTGTACAATGATTTACTTCAATTATCGTTTTTTTTATTTTATTTATTTATTTTTTGCAAAAATTGGAATGCAGTGATTGTATGTCTTGCCCAACATTAAATCAAAGAAGATTGCAAACCAATCTGATGATTAACGAGCGTCTGCAGTAAGCTTCCAAATTTAAAATAATAATAATTATTATTTTTTTAATTTTATTATTTTAAAAAATTTATTTATTAAATTCATTATTTTACTAATTTAGACAATACCATGCTTAATGTAATTGCTATTCAAGCCAAAGCTTTTGTTTGCCAAAAATGAGGAAATATGTATTATTTATTTTCATTAATATGTATATATTTCGTAACTATGTATTATTTATTTTCATTATAAAATATGTATTGAAGTAAGAGAAAAAAGTTAATTGTAAAACTTTTTTATCTTTGATTAATATAGCTTTATATAAGAAGATTGGTATCATTAAATTAGAAATTACTTAGCATTTAATTCACTTGGTTTATCTCGATTATTATTTTTTTTATAATTATTTATGGTTTTTGAAAACCAATCTCATAAATTTCCTTTTTATTTATTAATTAACTTCTTTTATGACAAGAAGTTGGCTGTATCTTTAGCAGTTTAATAACAAATTGCTTCTTTTTAAGAGAATCTGAACAATATTTTTACACCTATTAGAAAAATCGTAGTCAGTATTACGACATATAACAGTAACTTGAAAGTGGACTAACTTATTTTATTTATTTATTTATTATTATTATTTTTTTACATTATTCAATAAAAAAAAATCTTTTAGTATCTCTAGATATTATCATAATTCTGTTAAACCAAACAATATTCATTTAAAATTAGATGGTATTGAAGATTGCATTTTAATAACCACTAGTAATATCGTTCATTTTGTAGATAAATAAAAAGTTCAATATAACGGGCGAATTTAGCTTGGTTGTACGATTTTTATTCGAACAAAAAATGAATCGAACGACATACCCAAATGTGCCATATAATGAAGCGATTCTGTATTATAATCGAAGATAAGTGATATGTTTTCCGTTTATTTTTTTATTCCATATTTCAATTTAAATTAAAATCGTCTGTTCGTCATAACATCTGTATCGTCTGTTTAACCATACTTCACAATAAAATACCAGGTAATAATATGTTATTCGTGCTGTTATTATGTCTGCATTTCAGGTAATAATTATGTTACATTTCTGTTATTACTAGCTTTTTCTTGTACTAGTAATAAAATAAAAGTTAGAATAATACATAAAATTTAGATCACAAGTGTAGTTTATAATCGATTTACTTTAAAAAAAAAGAAAGTAGTGCTGAACACTTGCCCTTATTTCAATGTTTTGTATCTTTATAGTTTAAAATGTTGAACACTCTTTAAAAGATCATGCAGATTTATGACACTTTTCACAAAATATATTTAATTTATAATGGCCAAAGTAGTGAAAACAGTGCATTAAAAAATACATTATGTATGCATGCATATATTAAAAAATGAACTGTCGAAATTGTGAGAAAAAAATTAACTTTGATTTTAAAATAATATTCTTCTTTTAAAATAATAATATATGACAGATATTGCAGAATAATTAAATTATATTCCGTGAAGTCATGATGCGTGTGCATCTTGGAACATCTAATGTAACAGGTAGTAATATGAATATAAAAATGTCTATAGTGGGTCTAAATCTAATAGGGGGATATATTATTTTATATGCGGCCCTCGGAGTTGGGATGCATTTTCAAAGTGCATTTCCCGCAATATCATTTAGATTGCCCCCCTGCCTTAGAGTAATACAAGGTATTCCAGAATACTCGTTTTAGTCCAGAATTGAAAATTAATTTTTGAACGAGTGAATTCGTAGTGTGTGGAAAAAAATAGTGTGTAGAAAAATAGTGTGTAGAAAAAATGCGAGTTACGATTCTACTCAGGAGGTAATATGTTAAGTGGTTAATTCGATCATTCCATATTACAATTAACTGAAGAATTAAAGGCAGAAGACCCAATGACCCACTCCGGGCATCCATTTCAACCAGCAACTCAGGCTAACCTGAATACCAAGCCACCGGTTGTCTAATGCATCTAAACTCGACCTTCCTGGCGATAAAAATGCTCAAGGCCCTTCGAGACCTTCGAAGGCGATTGCTGCACTTGAACTTGACATCATCCCTGTTGCACAGTCCAATTAGATGCATGCGAATAGAGAATTGATTTCCCCAGCGGTTAGTGCTTCGTTGGGAACTGCCGGCTTTTTTTCCTCAAGTAGCAGTTTGAGATTGTGAGGCACGTATTAGACAACGTTTCCTAGTTTGTGGGCCAAGTTATTATTCTGACACCTGTGCGTGTGTGTTTTCCTAAAAACTTATAAATTTATAACACGTAGACAATTTTTTTTTCCTTTGAATTGACTTTTTTTTTATTATCTGGTGTGTAGAAAAAAAAATCACCAATAAATTCTTAATTATTTTTTGATTAATACCCATGGTGTAGTGGTTATCACATCCACTTAACAAGCGGAAGGTCTTAGGTTCGAGACCTGGTGGGTACAAAAAGTAATTTTCTTTTAGGGGCCTGTTGATCGTGTGACTAGCGCTCTGGGGCTCGGTATACAGGTTTCGGGTTCGAGTCCCGGTGCCATAGATGTTTGTTGTGGTTCGGAATCTGCTTTAAACCGTAAGTCCCGGTCTATGAGCGTCTCCCATGAGCGTAGAGCGTTGCGGAGATATTGCTACTCCGCGTCCGTAGCTTATCTTCAAGCTACACGCCCCTCCTGGGTAGTGCTAAGTGAGTAACATAGGTGCGGCGCTTGCCTTGAGGCATAAAAAGCAACTGTTTGCCAGCTGCATTAGAAAAAAATGTTAATTATATAAAATCTTCACTGTAAAATTATGTTTTAAATACTCTTTCAAAGAATCGTCTGTATTTGTCAGCGTTATTCAAAATAGAATAGTATCATAGCAATATATATATATATATATATAGTAATTAGGTTGATAAATGGACTATAATATATGTAAATATACAAAAATGAGGCTTGGTTTGTAGCTCTATTGTCATCTTGGGTACACAGGGCTAAACAGACCGGGACCTACAGTTTAAAGTTTATTCCGGACCACTCCCAAACATCGATATCACCGTCAGGATTCAAACCTGAAGCTTGTGATACCAAAGGCCACCAGGCCACACAATAATGACACATTTAATTTTTCTTGGTATTTATTACTGTATATTTCACGCATTGTAGGATATAATGAAAAAATTCTTAATGGAATAAAAAGAAATTTTTAAAATCATATTACCCGTAACATAAAATGTAAACATTTTGAAATTATATTGGGTTAAAGATCATGTGCGAGGTCTGATGGCCGAGTGACTAGCTGTTTGGCCCTCGGTGCTACAGGTTTCGGATTTGAGTCACGGCGGAATCCACTTTAAATCGAAGGTCTCGATCTAATATGAATGTAGAGTAGGGCTGACAACCCTACCAAGTAAAAAAAAAAAAAAAAATCTCCTGTCTCGAAATCTGCCAGTTGGTAGATGGCTTTGGCCCACCATGGGGATGCTGCTCCAATGAAGAAGAAAAATCATGTACTTACATTTGTGTGAAAATAAGAAATTATTCGTTGATATTTCATTAAATGACATTAAAAATAATTTTTTATTTGATCCTTGGAATATTTTAAACTAATAAAGGTAAACAATTTTAGGTTTGCTGCCGCCTTTTAATTATTATTATTTTCTTTTTTTTCGTTTCAAGTGTTATTCTAATAAAATCTGCTCTTGGGGAAAGATTTCTGAATTTATTTACCGGTTGGTATTAAATTCAACACCAGTTAGTTATTAAATAATCAGTTAATAGTAAATAAATTAAATTGAGTTACATAATTAAATGTTTTAATAATAAGATCTGCTAACATTTCACAATATGATGAATAATATAATAATAGAATGTGAAGTGTATGTACAATATAGTGTTGATCTTGTACTTGAACTGTGAGACTATCATTGTAAACAATGTTATTACAAGAAATATCTCGCAAAATTTTCGAGTATTTTTCCGTTATTTGTTGTGGAATACGTTCAAAACAATGTTGAAAAAATAGTACAAGACAAATCTTTTTACTCCAAAATGCAGCTACCCGTATTATAGAATTCTTTCTACATACCATCTACGATTAAAATTTAGATTATATGTTAAAATTTGATAGTTAATCGATTTTAATTTGGGTTATTATAGGCAAATACGATGAACAGTAAATGAGAATTAACTTATTAAGCATATTTCTTTTTTTAAATCAGTCAACCATCTAATATTTTTAAAAGAATTTTTTTAAAAAGCTGTTTTAAAAAAGGTACTTAAATTTAAATTTCTTAAAACAAAATATTTAATTATATATCCATTCCTTAAAATAAAAAAAATTATTCTTTTTTCAATTTTAAAATTCATTTATCTTTATTCTAAAATTGAATAAATTGTTCAAGGATTACCATATCACCATTGAACTTTATTTTAATGGCAACTGTACGATTCTTTTAAAAAATAATAGCTTACGAGATTAAGATTTAAAATACTTTGAATGAATATGAAATTTAAAAAAAAATTATTTAAGTTGAATATGTATTGTCATTGAATTCTTCCCCACCCGAACTAAATTTTACAGTTTTTGCCTTATTGAGGTAAAAAGAAAAAAATAATATTTATTGAAGTAGGAATATTTATTGAGGTGGACAGAAATATTTATTGAATGAGAAATATTTATTGAGGGAAACAGAAAAAAAATCATATTTACTGAGGCGAACAGAAAAAAAATTATATTTATTGAGGTAAAAAGAAATATTTATTGAATGAGGAATATTTATTGAGGTGAACAGAAAAAAGTAATATTTATTCAGGTAAATAGAGATTAATTTGAGATGAGCAGAAAAAGACTTGATTTGAACAGGTGTTTTGAGATTTATTTGATTTGTTAAGGTGATTTATTAGATTTGTTAAGTTGATTTATTAGATTTTGTTTATCTCTATTCGTAAAGTGACTTATTTGCAACGAGTTGAAAACCATTTGATTTGATTTAATTCATAACTTTAGGATTTATGCTAGATGTTTTATCTACATTCATCCAAATACTGTTAAAATGCGAGAGTCAAAAGAGTTGAACAAAGGTGAAAATGGAACATTTATAATCGAAGCAATATAAAACTCGAAATTCATGAATCGATGATGATATGCCAAATAGGATTGACTGATCTTATGTTGGGCTAAAAACACAATTTTAAAAGAAAAGAATCGTTGCACGTACTTTCCAGCAAAGAAAAGAAAATGAAGAAATATGGAAAAGAAAGAAATTGATAAAACTGTGAATCGAATAGACCATAATATTTTAACAGTGGAACGTGGACAAGAAATATGGGTTGAAATTTACAATACTGTGTCCCTGAGAAGGTCGCCAATTTTGCAACCCGGAATATTCCACCAATTTCTTTAGGGTTGCAATACTGTAATTAGAGAAATTCGTAACTTCTTTTATTTCTGAACAATATAATAATTATTTTTTTGCTACTTTGATGGTTATTTGATGAATTTTTATTTATAATAAATAAGAACAGAAATATATATTCTTTTAAATAAATTAGTTCGATAAATTATTGATAATGAGATTGATAATTATTGATTATTGTTTTTATAAGGTATGTCGGCCACTGATACAGAATATAAACTTTTATGAAGTTGCCACTCATGAAAATACGAAACAGACAACAAAAACGATTTTTTTACTTTTTATAATATCTTATATTTAATTGTCAAATAATTATTTTCTTTTTAACGCTGTTTACATATTTTGTGACAACCTTTATTTCAATTCGTGTGAAAAAAATGTTGCTTGTTATTTTAAGAACGTTAGTTCATGGCAAAAATGCCTCTCGAACGCATTAAATTGTTCTTCTATTTTGTGATGTTTCTTCTTAATGCTGTTGACATTTTGTGGCAACCGTATTTGAATTCGCGCGGAAAAATATAACTTTCTAATATTAGGACGTTAGTTTACGGAAGAAAAAGGCAGCTAGAAAGTATTCATTTTTTTCTGTGGTTTTGTGATGCTGTTTTTGTTTTCTTAGTGAAGCAATAAAAATATTATTTTCGCCTCAAATGAAGGATATATCAGAATAAAATGTAAGTTATTCTCTAGTTTCTTCTTTTGTTTTTCTTCTTTATTATTATTGTTTTTATCTTTCGAATTCGGCAGCGTAAATAACATGAAATTGTTTTTAGATAATGGAAAAAAAAATTGGCATATTAGCGAATAACTTTGCCTTAATTTTTTCGTAATAGCGATTATTATCGTTATTAAATTGTTACATTTTTTTGAGTAAACATAGTTCCACATTATAATTTGGCGTTAAAATGATAAAATTTGCCGTGAAAGCAATTTAAGAATAAAACTTTGAAAAATAGTGATATATTTTGGCATTAAAGCGATATAATTTGTCGTAAAAGCAATTTAGGCATAAATTTTTGGGCATAATAGCGCTACAATTTGCAGTTAAGGCGATAATATTTGTCGAAAAAGCATTTTAGGAATAAAATTTCTCTTGGTGATAAAATTTGGCATTAAAGTGATACTTTTTTGGCGTAAAAGCAATTTACAAATAAAATTCAGCTTAGTGAAAAAATTTGACAGTAAACCGATAAATGTTGGAGTAAAAACATTTCAGAAATTTTTTTTTGACAGGATAATGATGATATTTGGTGTTAAAGCGATAAAATTTGGCGTAAAAGCAATTTAAGGTATTAAATTTGACGTATTAGCTGTGTGGCTACTATTGTTGGCGTAATAGCGATTTTTGGCGATGAATTTTGGCGAAATAGCGTTTTACATAGTTACCGGACTTCGGCAGCCATTTTGTTTGTTTACTTGCCGACTTGGCATCCTAGTAATAGATTTTGGCGTGACATTGTTTTATTGCAAAACTAACTGCGCTATTCATTATTGTTTACTTGACATCCTGGCGACGCATTTGTCAAAAAAGGTACAGGATTCTAGATTTTTACTGAAATGTGAATTACAACCATAACTAGAAATAAAACTGATAAATTTTGGCGTAAAAACATTTTTGGAATAAAATTTTGGCAGGATAATTTGGAACGACTCTGCAAGAGAAGCTGTCCGGTATTTCTGTGTATTATGAGAGAAAAACCGAAAAAACTCCCATCTGGCAGACGCTTACAAACACTGCCCCAATCGCAATGTAATTTCCGTTTGGAACCATTGACTACAACAGAAGTCGCCATTGGATTCGAACTCGTGCCATTTTACATGCTAGCTGCAAAAGTTACCACTATACCACGAGGTGGAAACTTAAAAAACTTTTAAATATTATATCAATTTTGAAGTATTATGGTAGTAAATGATAAAAAAAACATAGAAAAAATGTTGAGTAACATTTTATATGAATAAATACCAAATACCCATCATGACTAAAATTTCGAATACCTAACAACCATAATACCTAAAATTTCGAATACCAAATACACATAATACCTAAAATCT